GGGGGGGGGGCAGCAAAGAGGATCCTGGCACCGTTTCCTGCTGGCTCCCAGGGCGGAGAAGGGGAGCTCCAGGGGGCTCAGAGGGAGGGTCCCCGGGATATCTGCCTCTCCTCGGCCTGGGCTGGGAGATCCACAGGCACACAAAGACAGCTCACCTCTGCATCATCCCAGGTCTTGAGGTCACTGAAGACCCTGTAGCAATGCTCATCATAGGAGGACCAACCCAAGGGACAACAGAAACCAGCTCCAGTTCCTGTGAGGGAAGACAGGACGCCCAATGAGAAGAGGGGGGGAGGAGAAGAAGGGCAGGAGGAGGAGGAGGTGGAGCAGGGGAGGAGGGGGGGAGGAGGAGGGGGAGACAGCTGGGTCTGCAGAACAGGCTTAACCTGCTGTGTTGCAAACATCTTTGATGACAATAAATTGCAACCGACTTGCAGCTTCCTTTGCAGATTGTCCAAACCTCGGTTAGAGTTAACCCTGGTTTAATTCCCTGGAAGCTGCATGTCTGGTGTGTCTCTGTCCACGTTGGCTTCTTTTTTCATTCCGTGAAGGGTGTGAAGTCAAAAATTGGGTTCTTTCACGAATAGATTAACCTTTGCAGACCTGCCTGGGCTTCAAGTCCCAACTGAGCCAATTTGGCCTAGTGGTTAGAGCACCTGGCTAGGAAGCCGGAGACCAGACCGCTTTAGCCCTGGACGTCAGCTGGGTGGCTCTGGGCCAATCACAAGGAGACGGGGAGTTCTAGTCCCGCCTTAATCACAAAAGCAGGGTGTCAATCACTCTCTCAGCTTAATCCACCTCACAGGGTTGTTGTTGCGAGAAAACAGAAGGAGGAAAGAATATCAGGTATGTTCGCTGCCTTGAATTATTGGTAGCAATAATAATAATATTAATATTATTAATAATAATAATAAAGGCAGGATGCATAGGAATAAATAAATAAAAACTGTGAAGTGTCCTGAGCCATTCAGACTTAGCAAGAATTATCCCCACTTTGGTTGCAACGTATCCAGACTACTGCAATGCCCTTGATGTGGGGCTGCCCTTGAAAGCCTCCAAAATTGCATTGGCTGGGAAAGGAAGCAGCCAGGCTGTTGACCGGTGCAAAGGAAGGGGGATCCGGTGGGTCTGTCCTAAGGGATCTCCTCTCGCCTCCTGGATGCCCCCAAACAACTACAGGGGTTTAGTGGCAGATTATCCGTGGGGCTGCCCCCCTGCTCCCCCCTGCCCAAGAAGGGCCCATCTGAAGACCCCCCAGCAGGGGCTGAGCTCTTCAGCAGATGGGGAAGGGTCTCACCCCTTGTGTGGCTCCCATGGATTGAAATCCCTAGCAAGAGGTGGGGGAGGGGCACTCTACTGTTCATGATCAATGCATGCATTTTCCCCAAGGGTTTTACTTCATTCTTAATTAATTAATTCTGCATTTCAGTGGTGGTAATTCCTCTCCGGACACGAGGGACCCTGCTCGAACTCACCACTTAGGGAGACTGCCACGACCAGCAAGCTGAACCTCATGAAGATGAATCGCCCCATGGTCTTCCTTCCCTCCCTGCAGAGAGAACTGGGGGGAGAGAGAGGAAAGGACAGTGAGATGGGGGGAAGTCCAACCTGCGGTCATGCAGCAGCCTTGGGGGGGATCACAGTGAATCCTGCATTGCTCTGTAAAGGACAGAGAGAGAGAGAGAGAGACAGAGAGAGAGAGACAGAGAGAGAGAGACAGAGAGAGAGAGAGGGGCAGGAGCGATGTAATGCAGAGGGGGCCTCACCTGTCAGGTGCCCACAGGTGGGAGAGCCGCACTCACCTGTCCCTTGGCCTCCACAGGTAGCAAGTCTGCTCAGAGGCAACTCCAGGCTTTCCTCCTGCGAGGGGAATGGAGGCATTTATAGGCAAGGAAAGGGGGGGGGAGAATTTCTGTGGGGGGGGACGGTGGGAGAAAAAGCTCTGTGTGAGAAAGGATTTTCGTGGCTACCGATCAGGAAGTAGTTGTGTTTGCACAAAAGAAGTTGACGGATTCACTCTCTGCCAGGACGGATGTCATGGAGAGAATCCTACAGTTTGAAATGTTCCCTGAGGTCATCCAGCCCAGCCCCTGCTCAGTGCAGCAATTTAAAGGAAAGCACCCCAGATACGTGGCTGATTAGCCCCAACTCCTTGAGGGTGTCCAGACAAGGAGACCCCCCCACCTCCTCTGGGTCTGGGGGCTGCTGTTGACAGGCTGACTTTCCCTTTTTCTGAGTGAGGTTTTTCTAACTTCCCTTCAGAACCTGCCGGAATGAACAGATCCCTGAGCTGGGTTTTTCGTTGCAGACGTTTCCTGACCCAACTAGAGAACATCATCCATGCTAGAAGAGTTTCTGGAGAGGAGAAGGAGGAGGGGGGAGAGGAGGACTGATGGGGCTGCTACCTGCCGTGCTTCAGTCCTGCCCCCCCCCCCTAGTTTGGAAAAATCTCTGCCTGCATTATGCCCCTGGATGGCACAGCTTGAACTGTTTTCTGCCTGAGCAAAGGAGACATATTTGATCTGGGGAGAGTGGAAGGGAAAAGCCCCCAGCCCCACATCAAAGACCCAGAGCCGGGGGGGGGGACACTTTCCACCCTCAACCTGCAACCTCCTTCCCCATCTCTGCTTTGCAACTGAGCAGAATCAGGTGTTCTCCACCGGTTGCCCTGCACTACAGCTCCCATGTTCCTTGGCCAGGAGGCCCTTTCGCTTGGCTTCTTGGGGGGGTGAGGTGGCTGCTCAAGCGAAACCCAGCCGTGGGGTCGACCCTCTGGGTGTTTGGGGGGGACGGAGCAAGCTGGGCCTCTGGGAACCAGGGTCGGGGGTTCAAAGGTGCTTCCTCAGCCTTGGCCCCTTCAGGCGGTCTGGACTTCACCTCCCAGAATCCCCCAGTCCCGACCTTGTCCCAGTCCAGGCAGCAGCCCCGAAGTGAAGGGACCTCCGGCTTCTGCTCGGGGCCAGGTGTTGTGGGGGGAGCCCTGAAAGTGGTTTGTCAAGACTCACAAAGGAGCAATTGTTGTACCAGGAAGGAGCTGCTGTTGTTCCCAAAACAGCGCCAAGCAAGGTTGGATCCCTTACAAGCCAGATCCAGGTTTGGCCTCCTGTCTGCTCAGCTGAGGGGCATCAGGAAGAGCGCAGGGGCTGCTGGGTCATTCGCCCATCTTCCTCCCCCTCGGGTGAAAGGGGGGCCAGGGGGGCACTCCGAAGACCTGAAGGTCCAGGTGGGGGGGGCAGAAGGTCACGGAGAAAGTCTGTCTCTCCGGTCACTAAGAAGCGACCCCCCCCTGGATGGGCCCAATCAGTCCGGGACTATTCCTGACCTCCCAGCGGAGTCTGGGAACTTGGCTCCCCTGCGGTCAACATTGGGACAAACTGAACTGAAACCATTTTTCATTTTGTCTTCATTGCCACAATTCAGTTTAGAGATTTTAGATGAAGGAGGGGGATCTTAAGTTCTTCAGTTAGCCATAACAATACTTCTGTGGGAGAATCAAGGTCAGCCCTGACAAGGATTTTGGCCAGTGGAAAAGCTGGGAGGACAGCCCGAATTTTGAAATAATTGAGTGTGAGTGTGATTTAAGACAGCAATTTGGGGTGGGAAATGCAATGTTACTTTGTAGCCTGAGGGAGGGGATTTCAGTCTTGGGTTCACCTATGTAAGTGCCGATACTCTGTTTCCTAAATAAAATGTACTTTAAGGAAGAAAACTTTGCCTTGAAGTTCTTTTAAATGGTTTCATCTATGGGAACCATGACATTAACCCAAGACTCCAAATCACTTTAAATCCACGGGGTCCTGAGCTCCGGTTGCCTATCCAAAGCCTTGGGAGGATGACAAAGACTCACGGAAGAACCCACGATGGAGAAAAAGG